ATTCGAACTAAATATTCCAATATGATTGTTTTCTTTATTTAATTTAGTTCAAGATCGAATTGAAACTCAATGGCCAATTTATACAGCATTTTATTATCTTCAATTACTTGAAATCTATTTTGAAAATATAGCTGAACGACAACTACTATTTGATTTTATTTCTATTTATTTATTAACATTACATGATAAAGAAACTAAACCAATTAATCCACCGATACTTTCATCATCATCATCATCATCATCAACTTCATCCGATGATGACAATTGATATTTTATTCTTAAATATAATTAATATTACTTTGAAAACTAACTACTGATAATGATTGATGGATGAAAAAAAGCACATGTCTGTGAGACAGATGTCTGAAGGACAGAACAGCAGTCAATATATTTTTTTCTTTATTTGTATCTTTTTTTAGTTCGTTTTTTGTTTTGTTCTCCTTAGAGAATTGGATTGTTGCTAAAATGTTTTTAATTTGCTTGTAGTACACATATAATAGAAGTTAGTTTGGCGTATATATATAAAGATTTTTCTTTTTTTGTTTCCTTGCATCATTCATTTTGAAGCTAATAATCTGTTGTCTTACTATCCGAATCCATTGATATTTGATCATTTAATTCAAATATTGTCGTTTGAATAACAAATGGTCGTGCATAACCCATACGAATAAGTATATATTCTAAGAAATAAAATAGAAAAAAAGAACTTATGAGAAATATTGAAAATTTCTTTGTTTTCTTCTTTTGTTTTTTACGAAAAACAAATAAAAATTCTTCCATATACATTAATAAGATAAAAACTGTAATAGTTAACATTAATTCTTGATTTTTATATTCAGTAAAAAGTTGATATAGTGGAGAAATTTCTTTAATTTCACATAATTCATAATAAGTATTATCAGATAAATATGACATTCAATATGAAAAAATCAACAAAATAGAATATAAAAGAGCGCGTATTGTATATAAATCTCTTTTCATTATGCACCGCCGGCAAGTGTGGTACATATTTAATGTTTCAAATGTACTACATTAGCCCGGTGTTAACGGAAAAAGTTTTATCTTAATTACAAATATCATAAAATGAGTAACAGAAAGAAAAAAAAAA